GATATGTATATATATATATATATATATATATATATATATATATATGTATATATATATATACATATATATGTATCTTGTATCGATACATTCGTTACCATCGTGCACCGAGTTAATGAATTCTATTTTTTTCGTTTTTTTTTTCTTCTCCTTTTTTCGTAATATCGTTTGATTGACTTTTGAATGATTCTCCCGTTAATGTTTACTACGATTCCATTGATTTCGTTTGACTTTTTTTTTGTTTTTTAATACGTTGAGACATTGGTTTCAGTGTTAGGACACTTGTGGAAACCTTCCTCTGTTACTTCCTTCGTTCCTGGCTTGCTTTTATTATATTTCGGTCCACAGTGCGATCCTCGACTCGAACGGTCAATTTATATTTTTTCGTTATTGTTGCGTTTCTTTTCCTTGCATTTTTTCAGTTTACTTCTTCGAGAATTGTTTGCTTCTTTGCGTTTTACAACTGAAAAATGAAACTGAAACTTTTTGCATACTTAAGGACAAAAAAAAAAAAAAATAAAAATAAAAAAAGAATAGCGTAAAATTTTTTAACAGAAAGATCGCTCGCCCCTTATTCATCTCATTGCGACCAATTTTGTTTTATTATTTTTTTCAAACACCGTATATTATTATTTTAATTATTTAAACATCATGAAAAAAAAAAGGAAATTATATAAATATTGGAAACGTTATGATATTTAATTATAAAACGAACGAATTTTTTCTCTTTGTTAATGTTGAATCCATTTTCAATTTATTTATTTCTCCCTCTTTTTTTCCGATTAATCATGAGTCAATCATGATTCTTTCCGAGAAAAAAACGTTCTGTCTTTACTTTCTTTACACTATTTTTTTTTCTTATTCTCTTTCCTTTTTTTTTTAATTGTTAATTTTTATTCTTTCTTTTAATTATTCGTTATTGTTATTATTATTATTATTGTTATTATTATTATTATTATTATTATTATTACATATCCTCCCACCTAGACGAATCAGGGGCGAGCGAATCAGTTTATGCTGTCAGTTGACTGTTAACGTGATATGATTTTTTTCGTTTCTGTTTAGTACGACAGTTTGTGACCGGCGGCGGAGACTATTTGCCCGGTACGTAACTCATACAACTCTTTTTTCTTTTCCCTTATTACGTCCAGCTCAAACAAAAGCAGCCGTTTTTCTCTATTTTAATTTTTACCCTTTTTTTTTTTTTTTTCTTATATTTTAATTTTTGTTCAACTCGTGAAACAATTGAGATTGCCACCCATGTTAAATAATAACAATGTCAACAGAAAGAAAATTAGAAACAAGCATACCAATATTTTTCTTCAAGTATTTGTCGTTTCGCGAGGATCGAACGATCGACTACTTACGATCAAGAAAAAAAAAAAAAAGAAAAAAAGAAAAAAAGAAATAAACAAATAAATATCGCTTTCTATTTTTTATTTCTTTTCAATTTTGTTATATTTTTTTTTTCTTTTTATTATTATTTTTTTTTTTATTGGCTGCTTTGTTCACGTGACCGCCACAGTTACAAAACCGAACTTTTCCTCCTGAGCGCCGTTTTTGTTTCTTTACGCTTTTTGTCGTTCGTTATGATTATA